AGAAAGGCAGAGAGACAGCGAGAGAGAGAGAGAGAGAGAGAGAGAGAGAGAGCTAGATTCACAATTGCTATTTCGGTATAAACCCCAGCGCGAATGTGTGTGTTGACATGTTCGCTATACAAAATCCCCAAAAAGAAGCATGACTATGCCAGACTGTTTCTTCACCATGTGTTTGTGAGAGAGAGAGAGAGACGGGTCGCACCACACCAGAGCCTGCATTGGTCGCACCACACCAGAGCCTGCATGCGTGCATGCACGAGAGAGGGGCGGGGGATAGAGAGAGCTAGATTCGCAATTGCTATAAAAGTACAAACCTACCCACATCTCTGTGTTACAGTCGAGATGAATGCAGTGGCCTGTAGTAGTAGTAGGACAGCACACGCACGCTAGAGGTGGGGGAGAGAGAGAGAGAGAGAGAGAGAGAGAGAGAGAGAGAGAGAGAGAGAGAGAGAGAGAGAGAGAGAGAGAGAGAGAGAGAGAGAGATTCCCGAGTGCTATTTTGGAACAAATCTCGCCACATCTCTCCGTCAGATTCAGACGAGATGAATGTAGCACAACATTTGGCCAGTTTCATTCCAAAATAGACGGCCTGTAGTAGTAGTCGGAAGATGAAGTGGAGGGAAAGAAGGACAAGAAAATCGGAGGATAACCCGGTTGTTGCGTAAGAAGCCCCCACTTTCCTTGTTCATCCGCCATTCCTCAATGCATCTGGTCAGATTTTTGTGCCATATTTAATCAATGTGAATGTAGCCCCAGAATGTGGCTGGATTCATCCCAAAACGGCCAGACCAAAGCAGGAATCATAGTAGCACTAGTAGCAGCAGCAGTAGTAGTATAGAAGATCAGGGGACGAGGAAAGTGGCGCTGGATATACCTCTTTCCCTTCCTCCCAATACTCTCTCTCTCTCTCTCTCTCTCGAACACACACATGACACGTACGGAAAGCAAAAAGGAGAAAAAAAAGGGTGCTGTTGTCACCCGAATAGACAGTCCAGATGCAGCCATGTAGTAGTAGTAGTAGTAGTAGTAGTAGTAGTAGTAGTACTGCAGGGGCGGGGAACAAGGTTACAGTAGAGGCACAAACCGCAATAAAGTGGAAAAACAAAAAAAAGGCATGTTTTCCTTTCAACCTGGTGGCAAAGTTCGGAAAAATGCATCTTTTGGTTCGTCAATTCAGCTTCAGACCACCTGGTGGTTTAAGGAAATAGGAGGAGGAACAGGTGAGCTCTTAGAAGGCAAGAGATGATAAAAGGAGGTTCTAAAGGATGCCTCGGTCTAATATTGATCTTGGATCCTGGAGATGGATAGAAGTCGGTTCTAAAGGTCACCCACAATACAACATTGAGCATTGTTAGGACCATTTTCCGTGACTACCAGCTCATGCAACAAATTCCATGATCGTGTGACGTTTGAGGCAAACAGACTATATCATGATCCATCCCACTTCCATAATGAGACCTGTACAAAACAAGAGATATCATTGTCGTTCCGGTACAGCGAGGGAGAGAGAGGAGGACCGAGACAGGAGGAGTGCAGAGGAAATGGAGAGAGCCACGGAGACTCGACCAGATGTGCCTGTATGGGACAGGCAATGGTGAATGGAGAGCCAAGCAGGGAGTAGCTGGATTAGGCCTGAAGCCACATGCAATTTGCCCGAACTACCCAAAATGGAACAGCAACACGAGAGTTAGTGGGAGAGAGAGAAACGTGAAGACCATGAGCAGCTGTGGAGCAGCGAGCGATCACGTGCCTGACTACCATTTTCAGCCCCTATATCACCCTCTCCTAACTCACCAAAGCAGCCCACCCACACGGTATTTCGATGAGGTCGGTGAGCAACACGACAGGCAAACTACAAATATGGTGAAGAGCGGTCGTCCTCCCCGCATTCAGAGCAGAGGCAGTAGCCTGTTCTTCCCGGCACAGCGAATGCTGTGAGTGAGTCTAGGAGGATATGCTGGGTGATGGATGCTCAGGTGGCTGTGTTCCGGAGGCCGCTAGGCGCTTGTTTGGTTGTCTTGAGCTATTTCTTACACAAACACGGGTCTAACGTGATCGTTAGGAAGGCAGGCAAAAGACAAAATGACGAACCGGAGTTCCATTGGGCGTGAATGCACAACAGGCGGAGTCGCCACGGGAGTCCAGACACACTCAAGACGAAGAAGATTCCGCAAAGAGGACACGCCTGTACTCCGCTGAGCGCATGAACGACACCGATGTACGTCACGACCACGAAACGAAACAAATGCAACCTGCCCTTCACTTTGGATGGGAGCGACAGCGGTCACTTCACCCCACAGACAATTAGTCCCCAGTTCCATCATAACGCCATCGCAAAATTTTTCACCTCCAACAATCCACCGACTTTTGGAGACTACATGTCTGCAAACATCTCTTGACGTTTGCTCCTGCCCGTTCAGGACTCGGACGACGACCTGACTGTCCTCAGCGTAGAAGAGTTTCAAACTCGTCATAAGGTTGACTGAGAGACAGGATACACAGATACACGCAAGCAATTCTTTTACGCAGCAGTGTCGTCATAAGGGCCTGCCTGTTCTCAGCGAATCTCCAAAATATAAAACTCGTCGTTTCATCGTTTGCTAGACGCGGTGATGACGAGACAACTGTCAACTTCTTTCTTTCGTCGTAGTGCATCAACTTCTCGATGTCATACGAGGACAGCAAATGGTCCCCACAGCGTTGTTGGGTGGGTTAAGATGAAAGCAGTACAGTCTTCTACTAGATAGCAGTGCGTTCGCGCAAAGACAGGGCAGGGCAGAAAAAGAGACGACCGGAAGAGACACAGGGTAGGAGGACCGAGATATAGCGCATAAGAGAAGTACCGGTGCATGATTCCCTTGCCCACAAAGAGCATTAACTCGGCAGCCACGGAGACATAGGAGATTGTTCCCCACTAATAGACCGAGTGCCTCAGCAACAGACGAACTGCCTATAGCGTACAGGCTTGCCTCGGGCGATAAAAATAAATGGACGTGCTGAGCGACATTCTCGGCGAACTCTGTTGTTGACACCATCGATCCGCACCTCCTCTCCCAATCCCTCATTGGCTGCATCTGGCTTAGATTACGATGTTCAACGCGATTCAAAACATTCATTAGTGGCGTAGAGGCGCCACAGAGCAAATAGATATGGCGGCGAGCACAAAGAGGAACGAAAAGAGGTGAGAGAGCAGAGAAGCAAGGAAGGACGCACGGGGGGAATTTTCATAAGCCCTTTGACGTGATTCGAAACATTCAATACGCGGTACAGAGGCGCAAGGCAGCAAAACGAGCTGGCAGAGACGCACATAGAGGGAAGAGGAAAGGTGGGAGGACAGAAGCGATGAGGACAACGAGCGAGAGAAACAGTTTAGGGATCGCAGAAAAACCGACAGAACACAATCCATACGCACCTCCCCCACTTCCCTCCGTCCACAGCTATCCCTGGGGTGGAATTTGTGGAAAAGGTGATCCGCAGCATAGCCTACAATAAGTGGCTAAGAGGACCGGAACCGGAAGTTGAGAAGAGCCTGAAAGAGATGGCGGCGGAGAAGCAGAGAGAGGAACGGGCGTGGGGATGGACACAGAGAAGTGCGGAGAAGGACAAACAACGAGGCAGAAAGTCCCTAACAAGAAATGTGTTAAAGCGGCGCAGCGGGAGGCTTTACTCATGTTTCTTATCTAGGCGGAACTACAACCGCCCTCATCACCAGGCACACTAACGATACCACAGACAGTAGGATGGCAATAAACGACGCTGGGACAAATTAGGCACACCAAAAAGACAAGATAAAGGACAAATGAAGGGACAAGGACCATCTCTACTACATGCATATGATGCGATAAGAAAGAAACAGGCAATGGCAAGTCTCCCAGCAGGAGCAATAAATTGAAGGACGACACACAGAGATGCTCGCAACACGAACAGTACACGAGAACTTACTAGTATGTGTTCCGTGACAGTAGTTGAAACTGGAACGACATAGAAGTTTAACATGGTGTTCGCTCAGGGATGACATGCAGAAAATGAGAAGACACATCACGATACACTTGTCTGTCATGCACTTTGCCGGCAATTTCTGTTTGCCAGACCTTGAATGCTCGAATGACACTCATCCGCTCCTCTTCCACTTGTCCTGTGTGTTCCAAACCTACGTCACGCTATGCAGCCGTCACCATGTTGGGCTCCCTTACCCGCTGAACGGGACGCAGAGAGAGAGAGAGAGAGAGAACGCAAGAAATTCGCAGAAATGGGATGAGGGAGGCAACGGGGAAGAGGCAACAAGATAGCAGAGAAGCGGGAAAGACGAGAGGAACGGAAAGCGCGGTAAGGGGTGAGGGGAGACGGGGAACGAGAGAGAGAGAGAGAAAGAGAGAGAGAGAGAGAGAGAGAGAGAGAGAGAGAGAGAGAGAGAGAGAGAGCAAGAATACGGAGAAAGCAGAGACAGAGCAGGGAAAGGACAGCCAGAAGGCAGAATGAGAGAGCAGTAAAAGGGAGAGGGCAGGAAAAGGGAAAGAACGCCAGAGAGAGAGAAGAAAACACAAGAGGGGACCGGCAGAGGGGCATCCGAGATTACCTTTCTAAATCTAAAGACATCGCTTGAAATTTTATTCAACAAACAGCCCTGTCGAGACGGAGGCAGGGAAGGAAAAATGCTACGGCGAAAATGCAGGGGGGCAAGAAACGTCGACAAACGAAGACAAAGGGCAGAAAGGTAGAGCGGCCCAGGAGGGTGGAGGACGAGGACATAGGTCGGGGAGGGAGAACGGGAAGGACATACAGTCATTTGTCCGGGTGACCACACACTTTCACCCCAGCCCACTCAGCCTATGGTTAGATGTTAGCCTGCAGAGCCATATGAGTTGTGTGTTCGAGTCCTGTGCTCGTCATACACAGACCAGGAATGAAAGGAACGATAGGAACGGAAAGAAGCGGACGAGGGGAGTAAGGGAGGGGAGTGAGGGAGGGGGGTGAAGGAGGGGAGGACGAGGAAGGCATACTTTGCTGTGGTGACCACGGATTCGGAAGAGGGGCTGTATTGGGAGCGGGTCCAGACGGAACAGCAGGTGCAGTGGTGGCGCCTGCTGTCGTTCCCCCGCCTGCCTGCGCCGCTGCAGGTACACCTCCGAACAAAGCTGCAAATGGATTGCCCGCCAGATCTCCCGCCCCTGCATCCCCTCCACGTGTCGTCGCGTTCATCAGCGGCTCCTGCACTGTCTCGTACATCCTCCTCAACATGTTAAACCCCTCCGGGTGAGCTTCTATATTGCTCATCGCTCTATCCGTGTTTCTCATCATCTCCCTCATCAACTCCGGGTTCCGCACCGCATTCATCGTTTGCCTTAAGATGCCAGGGTCGTTGAGCACATGCATCAGGTCAGGATTCCTCTCCAACACCTCTCTTAAGTGGGGATTACTCATTATCAAATTCCGCATCAGATCCGGATTGCTCATGATACTCTGCACAGCCGGTGAATTCATCATATCCCGCATTAAATTCGGGTTCTGGAGTATCTGCTGGTGCATTTGGTGCATGTCAGGAGGGATTCCTCCCAGTCCCGCACCGAAACCCCCCAAGCCCCCCAGTCCCCCAAACCCCCCAAGTCCTCCATCCAAATCCGGAGTACCAGCGGGGGCGGATGCTGGCGTGGCAGCTCCAGCTAGACGTGCGTCTCCCCTTCCCGTGCCAACCGCTCCAGCCGATGCCGCCGTTGCGGCCGCTCCCCGGACTAGATGGATGGTGTGCTCCGCCTCCAACCCTATAAACAGCGAACAGCCACAACACCCAGGCTTCGTTAACGTGGACAGCATTATTTCCAGTCTTAGCACACGGGACATATTAGTAGTGAGTTACAGTGCTAGCCACACTCGCAGCTGACGCTACACAAAAAACAGCAAAAAGCCGGATCAGCAGAAGTACATTGACAATGTTCAGTGATAGAGCTGTACACCAAGTCTCTTTGTTACTTAACCGATCATCTCGTTTTCTTCAGCCAATCAGCACACTCAACCGCCCGCTGTACACCATTCAACAGCCACAAAAACTCTGTCAATCCCTTCCCCCCACAGAGGAACGCCGTGAGAACAGCACACAAACGAAAACGCAAACATGTTCTTGGAAGAAGGATCGCCGTGAGCTTCTCTAAGCCTCAACAGACATACGCCAACATATGTGCGTCTCTCTCTCTCTCTCTCTCACACACACACACACACACACACATACACACACACACACACACACCTGTTCTCTCTCTCGTAAGCGTCTCCAAGCCTTCACAGGCATACGCCAACATATATGCGACGACGCGATAGTTATGCGTGGTAACCTCCATCGCCTTTGATAAGCTCTCTCTCTCTCTCTCTCTCTCTCTCTCTCTCTCTCTCTCTCTCTCTCTCTCTCTCTCTCTCTCT